TTGGGCACACACACACACGCGCCCAGTGTGAGTTTCAAGCCACTGGGTCTGGGACGCGAACTGCGGACGACTACGTGGGAGTCCAGCGACATAGCCATTACGCTAACTGCTGGTCCCAAAATAGCAGAATTCTTAAGTAGAGTCCTGAGTGGGTCATTAAGAGGAGCTGGGATGTTTTTTTTTTAATTTTTAAATCTTGGTCAGGAAGGGCTTTGTCTGGGCCTGTTCTCAGGAGAACTTGTGCATGCACCACTCCCTTGCCCCAGTCCCCTCCATGGTGAAGGTCGCATGCTGGATGCGTCCAGTTATTTTTCTCCTAATTTTGGAATGGTATGAAGGTCATCAGACTCCGTCTAAAAGCTTTGGATCATAAAATCCCTTATCGTCTCAGAACATGGTGAGACCTGGAAGAAAACTTTCATTCTTATTTTTGTTTTAGGTTGTGCTGTTTAGGTTAATCACTGAGTCACCATCGCCACTGCAAGCCTTTGCTGTGAGCAAGCAGTTCAGTGACAGCTGAGCTCTCCTGTCTCCATCTTTAAACTTAGCTGTTCTGTGATTCCATTTTGGGCCTATTGTCATCAGATGGAAGGAGCTGAGCAGCATTGTGTGAAATCCTTGGTTCTTTAGGTCCAGATCTCTAAGATTAGAGACCTGCCCTGAGGCACAGAGTGAAAAACCACAGCATGTAAAGTAGGAAAAGGGAAGTTTTAATAGAAAAGTAAGATTTTTTTTTAAAGAATTATTTTATTTAGCTTTATTTATCTATTTATTTATTTATTTTAATTTGACCAGAGAGGGAGTGAGAGAGAGAGGGAGAGAGAGAGAAAGTGAGAAAGCAATCCACTAGGTCCGGGACTCGAACTGCAGTCAGCCATGTGGGAGTCCAGCACCCTTAACCACCATGCTACCTGCCGGCCCCAGAAAAGTAAAAACTTTTTAGTAAAAGAGAAACACACCCCCATGCCTGAAAGGCCTGCAAGTGGGCAACTGTCAGAGAAGGCCAACTACACTGGGGGTGGGGTTAGGTGTGAAATTTATTCTAAGGGTTGATAATCAATATTTAGCAGGGGAAGGGCTGTCATAGTATCTGGCTTCTTTGTTTGGAATTCACCCGCTTTTTCCTGTGTTTGCACATCCCTCCCTCAGGTGAAGAATTCAATTACCTAATCCTACACGTTCAGTGTGGACTTAGAAGGTGTGAGCATCCAGATAAAGGAGAACTGTCCTACTAGTTGATTGCCCCAGTGAAAATGAGGATGTTGACCTAGCATCCCATGACAGTGGTGAATTTCTGTGTATATATTTGCGATTGCAGGAGGGAAGATAACAACTTTCCCTGAGCCAGGAGCAGGGTGGGAAGAAGGCGTTTTTGTTCTCATCTGGTTACAACTCCTGATAAGTTGTGATTGATGTGACAGATATTATTGTGCTATTTTCTTAGGGCTGCCTGCTCATTTCTAGCTACATGCCTATCACATCATACCCTAACTATATTCTTAGAATCCCTGTCTCCTACCTCAATAGTAAATTTAAAGTTTACATAGGCCCTGAAATCAGCAAATTTTTTTCTTTCCTATCCTACCTCCATCATTCTGTATGCCTCTCTCTCTTTCTCTTCACCTCTTCCATCCTGCCTCTGTGTATGATTGTTATTATTATTTAAGTTATTGCCAGAGGGCATACTTGCCAAGATAGAGACACAGAGACAGAAGGAGAAGTAGAAAGCACCCTTCAGTGGAGCAAATTGCATCACAATTCCCTCTTTATTTCTTCATCCTGTTGGGATTTGGGGCATTCATGTACACATGGCTGCATGTTTTCCAAGACAACAGGGCTTGGACTCAAACTGTGTGGTTGGCCATTAGGAATCTGGCGCGCTCTCTCTCTCTTTCTCTCTCTCTCTCTCTTTTTTTTTTGGAGAGGTTTTTGCTATAGGGTGTGTGCACTCACCAGAAAGATAGAGACAGAGACAGAAAGCAAGAAATCATCCTCCAGGGTAGATGGCCATGCTGCAATCCCTTCTCCTTCATTCTCCTCTTGGGATGTTGAACATGCATACTCACGCGCCTGGCATGAGTTAAAGCTACTGGGTCGGGACTCGAACTGTGATCGACTACGTGGGAGTCCAGTAACATAGCCATTACACCAACTGCTAGTCCCCTGACTCTCTTAACTATTAGGCCATGGGACTGGCCTTGCCTTTTGTTAAAAGAATGAGTTTACAACCTGCCTCATAGCCTAGTGGTTGAGGGAGACAGATCCCACATGGCCTACCACGATTTGAATTCCTGCCCCAGAATCTTGAAAAATGCACCAGGCACATGCACGTCCCCCAGATCCCGACAGAATAGAGAAATGGAGGAAAAGGGACTGACCACACTTCTTAGGGGATGATTTCTCCTTTCCTCTCTCTGTCTCTCCCAGGCACGTGAACATACCCTCTGGCAAATATATATTGAAATAAATAAGTAAGTAAGTAAGTTTACAACTCTCTTATGTACTTACTCAACGTACTGCACAAAAATTCCTGGTTTGTGGTGAGGCTGCCTCCAGGCTTTGGGCTGCAGACTAATTCTGTTGCTTTTGCTCCACTTTGGGCAACCTTTATTTAGTTAAACTAAAATAAAATTTACATGCATGGCTAGAGTGTAACCTCTTCTCTATTCAACATCCAGGGGTTATGGGCTTATGGCTGCACCTGGTTCTGGCCACTCCAGGCTATGGCGTGGCTGCATTGTGCCAGATACTCCTTCCTGCTGTCAGTTATCACCCCCGAATAGGCATACCAGCTCCCCCACTCCTAAGTATGTAAAGCTCTAGGTCTGTATCTGTGGCTTCTCCTTTTTCTAACGTTGATTTGCAGGAATCACTGCTCTATATTTACTTTTCCTCTATTCTCTTTTCCTAATTATCAGATCCTTTCTGTATAATCATTATCAATACTCCTCTCTTATCAAAGATAAGATTTTAACCACTTGAGAGCCACTAAGAGTGAAGCCTTATTGTCTGTCTGGTCCCTGAGCATTTATGTTTATGGTGCATTAGCAAAAATCAATGAAATATCAATGGAAGACCAGTTCCCTTTCACAACAGGGAGAGGAAGCCCATCGAAACATACAAGAGAGGAATCAGCAGATGGCATAGCAGTTACATCCCACGGGTCAACTGGGGTTTGAGTCCCAGACTTGGTGGCTTGAAAATTATTCTGGGCATATGTGCATGCATGCTCAAGATCCCAGGAGGTGAACGGCAGAGGAGGGATTGAAGCATGGTCATCTCCCATGGGGGATGATTTCTGACTTTCCCTCTTAACTGTCTGCCTCTCTCTCTCTCTCTCTATCTCTCTCTAGTAAGCACACATGGTCTATGTCAAAAACCTCTTTAAAAAAATACAAGAGAAAATAAGCAGGGTAATGTTAGAATCCAATTATCTGAGATAATGCAATCTGGGGGATCTACCATTACTCTGCTTTCCTGAGATTAAAATCTATAAAAATTAGGGCCAGCAGGTGACATGGTAATTAAAGTGTTGAATACCATGTAGCTGACTTTGCTGTTGAAGACCCAGACCCAGCAGCTTGAAAAACACACCAGGTACATATGTACATATGTCCAAAATCCCACAAGGCGAATGGAGGAGAAGGGATTGCAATGTGGTCATCCCCCCAGGGGGTGCTTTTTTTTTCTCTCTGTGTCTCTTGAGTGAGGACATATGCCCTATAGCAAAACAAATAAAAAAACTTGTAAAGATTATAAGCTTGTGAAAATCATATATACACACACACATACATATATATATATATATATTAATTTTAGTTAGTTTTAGGCCTAATATTATTTGAATTCAGTAAAAAAAGATTTAAAGAAGAGGATGAATTCAGGGAAATCACTGATTAGTAACCATGACTAATCCCTTAATAGCTAATACATTAAGTATACTTACTTACTATTAACTTCTTTAATTTCACACACACAAAAAACTTTTAAAGTAAATACTAATGTTATCTGCATTCTACAGAGGAAGAAACTAGAAATTACTGAGATTAAAACACATGATTTGTGGGGCCAGCAGATGACATAATAGTTACACCATTGAACTCCCACATAGTCACCATGGTTCAAGTCCTGGACCTGGTGGCTTAAAACTCACACCAGGCACATGCGCATGAATGCCCAAAATCCCAAGAGGAGAATGGAGGAGAAGGGATTATGGCATGGCCATCCTCCCAGAGGGGTGATTTCTAGCTTTATGTCTGTCTCTTCAGCAAGCACATGAGCCCTACAGTAAAAATCTCTCTAAAGTAATAATAATAATAATTTGTAAATCAAAAAGCCAGCTGATGGGACCAGCAGATGGTATAATGGTTACATCGCTGGACTCCCATGTAATCAACCATGGTTTGAGTCCTGGACCTAGTGACTTAAAACTCGTGTCAGGTGCATATGTGTGCGTGCCCAACATCCTGAGATGAGAATGGAAGAGAAGTGATTGCAGTGTGGCCATCCCCCTTTTGCAGGGTGATTTCTCAATTTATGTCTCTGTGTCTCTGATGAGTGCACACACTCTTATAGCAAAATCTGTAAAAAGAAAAAAGAAGAAAAAAAGAAAAGGAAAACCAGCTTTCTAGAATCCAGGTCTCTCTGGGTCAATACAACCATTTAATATTCTCTATTTCCTTTCCATGGATAAATAATGACAAATGTAAAAAGTAAAAGGATAGATTTGTATTGCAGCATTGAAACTGTTGTGACAATGATTGTTGAACTGCACAATACTCAAAAAGACATAACGTTATCTGTGTTTGTACTACTCTACTTACATAAACTCTTTTAAAGAAATTTCATAAGTCTTCCATGAATACCAATTGTCAAAGTGTTCACCTTTCAAATATTGAATGAAGAGCTTTAATTTTTAATGAGTTTATTTACACTTACCCAAAATGGTGAACATGTACATTTTCTGACTTTCCTTTTCTATAAATATTTTTTCCAGGGTCAACGTCTTTTTGAAAAGTTGCTCCAACTGACTTCACAAAATATTGAAATCAAGCTAGTGAGTGATGTGACAGCTGATTCAAAGGTATTAGAAGCCTTGAAATTAAAGGGTAAGGCCGAGGTTGATATGCTACTATACCACTGGGTTTTCTATTAAGATACCTTTAATTTCACCTAATATATAGTTTCTTCATGATTAATATGTTTCACTTAGTATGCTTATTCTCCTCTGAAAAAATAACTTTATTGAAGCTTTAAAATGAGGAAATGAATGATTGAATACAGCTGTGACATTAAAAATAGAGTTGTTGCATATTAATTTGGGCAAAATAATCCACTGGCCATAAATGACAATTAAAAAAGAATCTTACTTTTCTGAGCACGTCTCCAGTGATGTGATTAGAGCAATGAGCTACTTGTTATGATACCATGAATTGGATTTCTATTTCTCTTTTGTCCATCAAATGAAAATTCTCCTCATGCTTCCTATTCTTAAAATAATATATCAGGAGGCCAGAAGGTTGCATGGTAGCTAAAGCACTGGACTCCCGCATGGACCAGTACTTTTTGAGTCCTGGACTGAGTGGCTTGAAAATCATGCCAGGCATGTACGCATGTGTACCCAAAATTCTGATAGGAGAATGGAGGAGAGGGGATTGTGGTATAGCCATCCCCCCAAATGGGGTTGATTTCTCACTTTCCCTCTCTGTGTTGCTCTCTGTCTCTCTCTGGAGAGGATACACACCCTATGACAAAAACCTTTAAAATATGTATACATATAAAGTCCAGGGACCAACCCCGTAGTGATGCAATTAAGTTCTGTGTTTAAGAACCCAGATCCCACACAGGCAGCCACAGTTCAAGTCCTGGTCCTGGCAGCTTGAAAAACATACCAGGCCTATGTGCATGTATGTGTGTACCATAGACATGGGCCCCAAATCCTAGTGGGGTGGAAAAGTGGAAGAAAGACTTGCACTGTGCTCCATTGGAGAGTGCTTTCTCTTTCTCTCTCAAGCTCAAGTGCCCTCTAGCAATTTAAAAAAAAACCTAGTATGTATGTCAGCCTATGAAACACTGCTTGATGTACAACTTTTAAGATAATTCCATAGAAGAATACTACTTTTATAGCCACTTTACAATTTGTCTCACAATCTCATGAAGACTGAAAATAATGCTGAAATAGCTTTATTTTGTTATAATCTTTTCTAGTAACTCTTATCTCCAAATAATTTTACAAATTTGTAAAATTTTTGACCCAGAATTTGCTATCCAAACTATTGGGTTGTTGGAAAACTCATGGCATATTTGTCTGTGTTTTTCTGTTTATTTATTTAACATTCAATCACTGTGTATTATTACAGCATACCAAATGAATTTTCCCATCATGAATATACTGTATATTGGTTCAAAGATATTACCATACATATTATCAAGAGATAATTTTCCATTTTTGTGTCCCTTAAGTGTTTTGCTTATTTCTTTTCTTTTTGATTTCCTCTTTTTCACCCTTCCCTAATTCTCACCCTCCTCCCACACTGTCTCTAGTGTACACAGTTGATCTCTATGTCTATATACCTTCCAGTCTTTCAGTTTCTGTCATAGAGTGCAGACATTCAGTGTATATTGAGTGGGGACATACAATGCCTCTCTTTTGTAGTTTGGTGTGCTCCACTTATTAGTAAATCTTCCATATGGCATGACTTTTCCAACAATCCAATATTAGCCTTTAAGAAAAACTAACATGTGGAGCAAGTGAAAGTGCTGAACCTTCCAAGCTCCCCAGGAGGGAGCAAGGTTGGTCTCAGTGATTCTTAATGTTCTATATAGTATTACATCTTATGTTGTGCTACTAAACATAGGTGCATTTTTGCTGGCCATCTTCTCCCCATTATTAAGGGACAATACCTTCTGAAAAATGAGACATACTATGAAGCAAATGATTCCAAAGAACCTTCTCTTCTAAAGAAGAGAAGTTAGAAGTAATAAATTATACTGAAAAACATAAACATATAGAAGGCATAGACTTGGCCATGCATGTGTACCTATTACCATGCACATTACTTTTCCTATGGATAGAAAAAAAAACCCTGATTTTGCTGTGTCTGAGAAGCTAAACCAGGCTATATGAGTATAGCATATTTTTGAAAAATGTCCAGCTCAAGTGGATTGACAGAAAATCGACATGGGTTAGAAATGTTGAGCATCTCTAATGGCAAAATACATCAAAACCAGAAATTTTTTGAGCATCTATATGAGGCCACAAATGGACAATTCTACACCTGACCTTATGGGGTGAGTTGTATTCAAAATACTGCAGTACAGGAGCCGGGTGATGAGCCAACTGGATCTACATGGGAAAGTCCTAGGTTCGTGTTCTGGGGCCTGCCTATACATGCTGGGCATATGGGTGCCCATTACCTGGGCTGGCTAAGATGGAGGGAGGATCACATCATGAAGGACGCTTTTGAGTGTGCCTGTCTGTCTGTCTGTTGGTATCTCTCAGAGGAAATAAGTAAACAAGCTTTAGAAAGTGCTTCAATATAAAAAATGATATAAAATTACCTTCAGACTATATGTATAAGATCTACATGAAACAAATGAATTTTGTGTTTAAGCTTGGGTCCGATCCCCAAGATAGCTCATTATGTATATGCAAATATTCTAAAATCCAAAACAAATTTAAAATTTAACGCTCTGGGGACCAGCAGTTAGCGTAATGGCTATGTCACTGGACTCCCACGTAGTCGACTGCGGTTCGAGTCCTGGACCCAGTGGCTTAAACTCACACCGGGCATGTGTGCGTGTGTGCCCAAGATCCTGAGAGGAGAATGGAGGAGAAGGGATTGCGGCGTGGCCATCCCCCCTGGGGGGGGATTTCTCGCTTTCTATCTCTCTGTCTCTCTCTGTCTGCCTGGCGAGCACACGTGCCCTATAGTGAAAATCTCTCCAAAAAAAAAAAAAATTAACACTCTGGTCCCAAGTATTTTGGATAAAGGATATTCAACTTACATAGCTTTACCCATTTAAAAAATAGGAAATTCACTTTCTGCTGTCTGAGAATTCATTTTTTTCAACACTTTCTTAGAAATGGATTACTTTTGGGCCAGCCTCCTAGTGTAGTAGTTAAGGTAGCCAGATTCTATATGGATGGATAAAATGCTGGCTCCAGCAGCTTAGAAAACACACCAGGCAAGGGCACATGCATGCCCCAAATCCTGATAGAATGGAGAAATGGATAAGAGATTGCAGCATGTCTTTGCCCGAAGGGAGGTTGTTTTCTCCTCTTTTCTACTCTGTCTCTGTTTCTCTTTAGCAAACACATGTACCCTCTGGCAGTTACAATTTTTATTTATTCGTTTTATTTATTATTTATTATTATTATTTTAAAATTTCCTATAGGGCATGTGCACTCACCAGAGAGTGGACAAGAAAGTGAGAAAGTAAACTGCCAGGTCTGGGACTCAAACTGTGGTTGGCCGTGTGGGAGCCACTTGCTAGCCCTCTGCCACCTCCCATCCTCCTGGCAATTGAAATTTTTTAAAATGGAGTACTTTTGGTTAACTGAGGGTGTTTGTATTCCTAGGTGACTTTTCCGTAGAGTCTATTGGCATGTCCTTCAGGTTTGATTATCCTGAAAAGATAAAAAGCTGATGAGTTTGGAAGAGAGGGAGGGAGCCTGAGAGTTCTACTATTTCATGAGTATACATCCATAAATCTCTCCCTTGCCCTAGTCCATCCTAAGTCTTAGGAACTCAACCAAAAGCTAAAACTGAGGTGGGAGCATAACAGACTTTCTTAGGTGCTATTGAATATTTGGTTACTTAAACATGTAGTAGCAAATTTATGAATAAAGGCCTACTTTACGTCTCTATCGTGAACTATGAATTAGAGCTTCATTATAATCAATACTCCTCACAGAAAAGGAAGTGTTTGAACTTCTGATCACATGTATATACCATTAAAGCTTAGAGGAAGTCTTATCAAAATCATAAAACAAATTACTTTCCTTTATAGTAGTAGTGCAATAGCAGGTCACTAATTTCTTACAGTTTTTTCCTCTCTACCTATAGTAGGCATCTCTGACTCTTTGTGTGTGTGTGTGTATACTGTACATACAATATATATAAATCTTTAAAGTACAGTTACTATATTTATTTACTTACTTCCTTTGGCAGAGACATTAAATGATGACCTAATATACTTTAGTTTTTGTTTTGTTTTTTATTATTTTAAGTCTGTGCTTGAATACCTAGGTCAAGGGTTGTCTTTTAATTTTTTAAAAGAGAGATTTTATTCTTTTAGTAAAGTACCATATCGTTTTGTCCAGAAATAGTGCACAAAATATAGGTAAGTGTAAAACAAGTCATGAACAGATTCAGCAGCAAGAGAGTTCTAAGTGTAAAAGATAATCAAATAAATTGTGAAAATAATAAAAGTAGGCTTCCCAGTAAGTGGCAAAGATTTAACACAGGTATAGCCAGTGAGGAGGGCAAGGCAGGCTGGAGAAGGGAGGCAGCTGGCCCAGGGCCACAGAGCCCTTCCCTAGGTGGGTGAGATCCCACAACATTCACTGTTTCTCCTGCTCTTAAATCTTGGCCTTTCTCCTCCTCTATTCAGAAGTCAGAAAGATTAAAGCATCCCTCTAAATTCTCAAATAGTGGCTTGGAGGTGGGGTGCTTTTGAAACTCAGCTTCCATAAAACCCTAAACATAAGGACAGAATTTAATTTTACACAAGAATTCCTCTAAATTAAAAAACTGACTGTAATAAGCAGTTTTCAAAAGAAGACATGCAAAAGCCAAATGAGTACATGAGAAATTGTTCAGCATCACTAATTATTAAGTAAATGCAAACCAAAACCACAATGAGATACCATCTCGCCCCAGTTACAATGGACATTATCAAAAAGACAACAAATAACACATGCTGGCAAAGACACAGAAAAAGGGAAACTCTTTACACTCTTGGTGGAAACGTACATTCATACAGCTATTATGGAAAACGGATGAAAGCTCCTCAAAAAACTAAAATTACAATTGCCATATGATCCAGCAATCGTACTACTGGGCATGTATCCAAAAGAAA